TCCGCGCGTGTTAACCTGTCCGCGCGTGTTAACCTGTCCTGTCGTGTTAACCTGTCCGCTCGTGCTAACCAGTCCGCCCGTGTTAACCTGGCCGCCCGTGTTAACCTGTCCGCGCGTGTTAACCTGTCCGCGCGTGTTAACCTGTCCGCTCGTGTTAACCTGTCCGCTCGTGCTAACCAGTCCGCCCGTGTTAACCTGTCCGGCCGTGTTAACCTGTCCGCGCGTGTTAACCTGTTCGCGTGTGTTAACCTGTCCGCTCGTGTTAACCTGTCCGCTCGTGCTAACCAGTCCGCCCGTGTTAACCTGGCCGCCCTTGTTAACCTGTCCGCTCGTGTTAACCTGTCCGCCCGTGTTAACCTGTCCGCCCGTGTTAACCTGTCCGCCCGTGTTAACCTGTCCGCCCGTGTTAACCTGTCCGCCCGTGTTAACCTGTCCGCTCGTGTTAACCTGTCCACCCGTGTTAACCTGTCCGCCCGTGTTAACCTGTCCACCCGTGTTTACCTGTCCGCCCGTGTTAGCCTGTCCGCCCGTGTTAGCCTGTCCGCCCGTGTTAACCTGTCCGCCCGTGTTAGCCTGTCCGCCCGTGTTAACCTGTCCACCCGTGTTAACCTGTCCACCCGTGTTAACCTATCCGCCTGTGTTAACCTGTCAGCTCGTGTTAGCCTGTCCGCTCGTGTTAACCTGTCCGCTCGTGTTAACCTGTCCGTCCGTGTTAGCCTGTCCGCCCGTGTTAACCTGTCCGCCCGTGTTAACCTGTCCGCTCGTGTTAACCTGTGTTAACCTGTCCGCCCGTGTTATCCTGGCCGCCCGTGTTAACCTGGCCGCCCGTGTTAACCTGGCCGCCCGTGTTAACCTGGCCGCCCTTGTTAACCTGTCCGCTCGTGTTAACCTATCCGCCTGTGTTAACCTGTCAGCTCGTGTTAGCCTGTCCGCTCGTGTTAACCTGTCCGCTCGTGTTAACCTGTCCGTCCGTGTTAGCCTGTCCGCCCGTGTTAACCTGTCCGCCCGTGTTAACCTGTCCGCTCGTGTTAACCTGTCCCCTCGTGCTAACCTGTCCGCCCGTGTTATCCTGGCCGCCCGTGTTAACCTGTCCACCCGTGTTAACCGCCACGTGTTAACCTGTCCACCCGTGTTAACCGCCCCCGTGTTAACCTGTCCGCCTCGTGTTAACCTGTCCGCCCGTGTTAACCTGTCAGCTCGTGCCTGTCGTGTTAACCTGTCCGCTTGTGTTAACCTGTCCGCCTGTTCGTGTTAACCTGTCCGCCCGTGTTAGCCTGTCCGCCCGTGTTAACCTGTCCGCCCGTGTTATCCTGTCCGCCCGTGTTAGCCTGTCCGCCCGTGTAAACCTGTCCGCCCGTGTTAGCCACTCCGCCCGTGTTAACCTGTCCGCCTGTGTTAACCTGTCCGCCCGTGTTAACCTGTCCGCTCGTGTTAACCTGTCCCCTCGTGCTAACCTGTCCGCCCGTGTTAACCTGTCCACCAGTGTTAACCTGTCCACCCGTGTTAACCTGTCTACCCGTGTTAACCTGTCCGCCCGTGTTAACCTGTCCACCCGTGGTAACCTGTCCACCCGTGTTAACCTGTCCACCCGTGTTAACCTGGCCACCCGTGTTAACCTGTCCACCCGTGTTAACCTGGAGGGTAGCTATCAATATTGCGTCATTTGAGCAGGAAATTTTAAATAAAAAACGATTATGTTATTTGTCACGAAAATAATTCCTATTTATTGTTTTTGATCGTTTGAACAGCACAATTAAATGTCCGGACATGGAGCTGCAGTTTATTTAATTAAAAATATTTTATATGCAGCGCAAAATGAATTAATGATGCATAATGTTCAATTGCGATCCGAGTAAAAACTAAAAAATACCCGAAAGTGTTTTGCAACTGATGTGAATGTTGCAGTATCATTAGTTGCACAACGTTCATCGCAGAGGGAAGAAAGTAATATAAAACTTGCGTGGTTTATCGCATTAAACTAAACTATTTATTATTTACATCTGGAAAATCCTCAGCACAGAACACTATGTACCAAGCTCTATAACTATCACTAAACTACACAGAACACGGTGTACCAAGCTCTATAACTATCACTAAACAACACAGAACACTATGTACCAAGCTCTGTAACAACTAAACTACACAGAACACGGTGTACCAAGCTCTATAACTACCACTAAACTACACAGAACACGGTGTACCAAGCTCTGTAACTACCACTAAACAACACAGAACACGGTGTACCAAGCTCTATAACTACCACTAAACTACACAGAACACTATGTACCAAGCTCTGTAACTACCACTAAACAACACAGAACACGGTGTACCAAGCTCTGTAACTACCACTAAACAACACAGAACACGGTGTACCAAGCTCTATAACTACCACTAAACTACACAGAACACGGTGTACCAAGCTCTGTAACAACTAAACTACACAGAACACTATGTACCAAGCTCTATAACTACCACTAAACTACACAGAACACGGTGTACCAAGCTCTGTAACAACTAAACTACACAGAACACGGTGTACCAAGCTCTATAACTACCACTAAACTACACAGAACACGGTGTACCAAGCTCTGTAACTACCACTAAACAACACAGAACACGGTGTACCAAGCTATAACTACCACTAAACAACACAGAACACGGTGTACCAAGCTCTATAACTACCACTAAACTACACAGAACACGGTGTACCAAGCTCTGTAACAACTAAACTACACAGAACACGGTGTACCAAGCTCTATAACTACCACTAAACAACACAGAACACTATGTACCAAGCTCTATAACTACCACTAAACAACACAGAACACTATGTACCAAGCTCTATAACTACCACTAAACAACACAGAACACTATGTACCAAGCTCTATAACTACCACTAAACAACACAGAACACGGTGTACCAAGCTCTATAACTACCACTAAACAACACAGAACACGGTGTACCAAGCTCTATAACTACCACTAAACAACACAGAACACGGTGTACCAAGCTCTATAACTACCACTAAACAACACAGAACACGGTGTACCAAGCTCTATAACTACCACTAAACAACACAGAACACTATGTACCAAGCTCTATAACTACCACTAAACAACACAGAACACTATGTACCAAGCTCTATAACTACCACTAAACAACACAGAACACTATGTACCAAGCTCTATAACTACCACTAAACAACACAGAACACGGTGTACCAAGCTCTATAACTACCACTAAACAACACAGAACACGGTGTACCAAGCTCTATAACTACCACTAAACAACACAGAACACGGTGTACCAAGCTCTGTAACTACCACTAAACAACACAGAACACTATGTACCAAGCTCTATAACACGGTGTACTAAGCTCTATAACTACCACTAAACAACACAGAACACTATGTACCAAGCTCTATAACTACCACTAAACAACACAGAACACTATGTACCAAGCTCTATAATTACCACTAAACTACACAGAACACTATGTACCAAGCTCTATAACTACCACTAAACAACACAGAACACGGTGTACCAAGCTCTGTAACACCACTAAACTACACAGAACACGGTGTACTAAGCTCTATAACTACCACTAAACAACACAGAACACTATGTACCAAGCTCAGTAACTACCACTAAACAACACAGAACACGGTGTACCAAGCTCTATAACTACCACTAAACAACACAGAACACTGTGTACCAAGCTCTGTAACTACCACTAAACTACACAGAACACGGTGTACCAAGCTCTGTAACAACCAATAAACAACACAGAACACGGTGTACCAAGCTCTATAACTACCACTAAACAACACAGAACACGGTGTACCAAGCTCTATAACTACCACTAAACAACACAGAACACTATGTACCAAGCTCTATAACTATCACTAAACTACACAGAACACTACCAAGCTCTATAACTACCACTAAACAACACAGAACACGGTGTACCAAGCTCTATAACAACCACTAAACAACACAGAACACGGTGTACGCTCTGTAACAACTAAACTACACAGAACACTATGTACCAAGCTCTATAACTATAAACTGTACCAAGCTCTAAACTACACTAAACTACACAGAACACGGTGTACTAAGCTCTGCAACCACTAAACACAAATGTCGCCTCGCTTACTCCATCTGTCGAAATACAGATTAAATTGCTTATTTTACTCTTATTAACTGAACGAGCATATTTATTACAACTTTCTGCGTGAATGTTGAATACAAAGTGATAGGATGGAGCGTGCAACATGTGCACTCAAGCTCCTGCAACATGTGCACTCAGGCTCCTGCAACATGTGCACTCAGGCTCCTGCAACATGTGCACTCAAGCTCCTGCAACATGGACACTCAAGCTCCTGTAACATGTGCACTCAGGCTCCTGCAACATGTGCACTCAAGCTCCTGCAACATGGGCACTCAAGCTCCTGTAACATGTGCACTCAGGCTCCTGCAACATGTGCACTCAGGCTCCTGCAACATGTGCACTCAAGCTCCTGCAACATGTTCACTCAAGCTCCTGCAACATGTGCACTCAAGCTCCTGCAACATGTGCACTCAGGCTCCTGCAACATGTGCACTCAAGCTCCTGCAACATGTGCACTCAGGCTCCTGCAACATGTGCACTCAGGCTCCTGCAACATGTGCACTCAAGCTCCTGCAACATGTGCACTCACATGTGCACTCAGGCTCCTGCAACATGTTCACTCAAGCTCCTGCAACATGTGCACTCAAGCTCCTGCAACATGTGCACTCAGGCTCATGCAACATGTGCACTCAAGCTGCTGCAACATGTGCACTCAAGCTCCTGCAACATGTTTACTCAAGGTCCTGCAACATGTTCACTCAAGCTCCTGCAACATGTTCACTCAAGCTCCTGCAACATGTGCACTCAAGCTCCTGCAACATGTGCACTCAAGCTCCTGCAACATGTGCACTCAAGCTCCTGTAACATGTGCACTCAGGCTCCTGCAACATGTGCACTCAGGCTCCTGCAACATGTGCACTCAAGCTCCTGCAACATGTTCACTCAAGCTCCTGCAACATGTGCACTCAAGCTCCTGCAACATGTGCACTCAGGCTCCTGCAACATGTTCACTCAAGCTCCTGCAACATGTGCACTCAGGCTCCTGCAACATGTGCACTCAGGCTCCTGCAACATGTGCACTCAAGCTCCTGCAACATGTGCACTCAGGCTCCTGCAACATGTTCACTCAAGCTCCTGCAACATGTGCACTCAAGCTCCTGCAACATGTGCACTCAGGCTCCTGCAACATGTGCACTCAAGCTGCTGCAACATGTGCACTCAAGCTCCTGCAACATGTTTACTCAAGCTCCTGCAACATGTGCACTCAAGCTCCTGCAACATGTTCACTCAAGCTCCTGCAACATGTGCACTCAAGCTCCTGCAACATGTGCACTCAAGCTCCTGCAACATGTGCACTCAAGCTCCTGCAACTTGGGCACTCAGGCTCCTGCAACTTGTGCACTCAAGCTGCTGCAACATGTGCACTCAGGCTCCTGCAACATGTGCACTCAAGCTCCTGTAACATGTGCACTCAGGCTCCTGCAACATGTGCACTCAGGCTCCTGCAACATGTGCACTCAAGCTCCTGCAACATGTGCACTCAGGCTCCTGCACCATGTTCACTCAAGCTCCTGCAACATGTGCACTCAAGCTCCTGCAACATGTTCACTCAAGCTCCTGCAACTTGGGCACTCAAGCTCCTGCAACATGTACACTCAGGCTCCTGCAACATGTGCACTCAAGCTGCTGCAACATGTGCACTCAAGCTCCTGCAACATGTTCACTCAAGCTCCTGCAACATGTGCACTCAAGCTCCTGCAACATGTTCACTCAAGCTCCTGCAACATGTGCACTCAAGCTCCTGCAACATGTGCACTCAAGCTCCTGCAACATGTGCACTCAAGCTCCTGTAACATGTGCACTCAGGCTCCTGCAACATGTGCACTCAGGCTCCTGCAACATGTGCACTCAAGCTCCTGCAACATGTTCACTCAAGCTCCTGCAACATGTGCACTCAAGCTCCTGCAACATGTGCACTCAGGCTCCTGCAACATGTTCACTCAAGCTCCTGTAACATGTGCACTCAGGCTCCTGCAACATGTGCACTCAGGCTCCTGCAACATGTGCACCCAAGCTCCTGCAACATGTGCACTCAGGCTCCTGCAACATGTTCACTCAAGCTCCTGCAACATGTGCACTCAAGCTCCTGCAACATGTGCACTCAGGCTCCTGCAACATGTGCACTCAAGCTCATGCAACATGTGCACTCAAGCTCCTGCAACATGTACACTCAAGCTCCTGCAACTTGGGCACTCAGGCTCCTGCAACATGTGCACTCAAGCTGCTGCAACATGTGCACTCAAGCTGCTGCAACATGTTCACTCAAGCTCCTGTAACATGTGCACTCAAGCTGCTGCAACATGTGCACTCAAGCTGCTGCAACATGTTCACTCAAGCTCCTGTAACATGTGCACTCAAGCTCCTGCAACATGTGCACTCAAGCTCCTGCAACATGTGCACTCAAGCTCCTGCAACATGTGCACTCAAGCTGCTGCAACATGTGCACTCATGCTCCTGAAACACGGGCACTCAAGCTCCTGCAACTTGGGCACTCAAGCTCCTGCAACATGTACACTCAAGCTCCTGCAACATGTGCACAAGCTGCTGCAACATGTGCACTCAAGCTGCTGCAACATGTTCACTCAAGCTCCTGCAACTTGGGCACTCAAGCTCCTGCAACATGCTGCACTCAAGCTCCTGAAACTGCAACATGTGCACTCAAGCTGCTGCTGCAACTCACTCAGCTCCTGCAACATGTACACTCAAGCTGCTGCAACATGTGCACTCAAGCTGCTGCAACATGTTCACTCAAGCTCCTGCAACATGTTCACTCAAGCTCCTGCAACATGTACACTCAAGCTCCTGCAACATGTGCACTCAAGCTGCTGCAACATGTGCACTCAAGCTCCTGTAACATGTGCACTCAAGCTCCTGTAACATGTGCACTCAAGTTCCTGTAACATGTGCACTCAAGCTGCTGCAACATGTGCACTCAAGCTCCTGCAACTTGGGCACTCAAGCTCCTGCAACATGTGCACTCAAGCTGCTGCAACATGTTCACTCAAGCTCCTGTAACATGTGCCCTCAAGCTCCTGTAACATGTGCACTCAAGCTCCTGTAACATGTGCACTCAAGCTGCTGCAACATGTGCACTCAAGCTCCTGCAACTTGGGCACTCAAGCTCCTGCAACATGTGCACTCAAGCTGCTGCAACATGTGCACTTAAGCTCCTGCAACATGTTCACTCAAGCTCATGCAACATGTGCACTCAAGCTCCTGCAACATGTGCACTCAAGCTCCTGCAACTTGGGCACTCAGGCTCCTGCAACATGTGCACTCAAGCTGCTGCAACATGTGCACTCAAGCTGCTGCAACATGTTCACTCAAGCTCCTGTAACATGTGCACTCAAGCTGCTGCAACATGTGCACTCAAGCTGCTGCAACATGTTCACTCAAGCTCCTGTAACATGTGCACTCAAGCTCCTGCAACATGTGCACTCAAGCTCCTGCAACATGTGCACTCAAGCTCCTGCAACATGTGCACTCAAGCTGCTGCAACATGTGCACTCAAGCTGCTGCAAAATGTGCACTCAAGCTCCTGCAACATGGGCACTCAAGCTCCTGCAAAATGTGCACTCAAGCTCCTGCAACATGGGCACTCAAGCTCCTGCAACATGGGCACTCAAGCTCCTGCAACATGTGCACTCAAGCTCCTGCAACATGTGCACTCAAGCTCCTGCAACATGTGCACTCAGGCTCCTGCAACATGTGCACTCAAGCTCCTGCAACATGTGCACTCAAGCTGCTGCAACATGTTCACTCAAGCTCCTGTAACATGTCAGGAGTACATTCTTATAATGATAATCACCTTGTTAGAGTCTGGGTGATTATAGGGTGGGTGTTATCCATCTTAACTGGGTGTTATCCATCTTAACTGGGTGTTATCCATCTTAACTGGGTGTTATCCATCTTATCTGGGTGTTATCCATCTTAACTGTGAGTTATGCAGCTTAACTGGGTGTTTATCTAGCTTTACTGGGTGTTATCCATCTTAACTGGGTGTTATCCAGCTTATCTTTGCGTTATCCAGTTTAACTCTGAGATATCGATTTTAACTGGGAGTTATCCATCTTAACTGGGTGTTATCCAGCCTTACTGGGTGTTATCCAGCCTTACTGGGTATTATCCAGCCTTACTGGGTATTATCCAGCCTTACTGGGCGTTATCCAGCCTTACTGGGCGTTATCCAGCCTTACTGGGTGTTATCCAGCCTTACTGGGTGTTATCCAGCCTTTTTGGGTGTTATCCAGCCTTACTGGGTGTTATCCAGCCTTTTTGGGTGTTATCAAGCCTTACTGGGTGTTATTCAGCCTTACTGGATGTTATCACCCTTACTGGATGTTATCCAGCCTTACAGGATGTTATCCATCTTTACTGGATGTTATCCAGCTTTACTGGATGTTATCCAGCTTTACTGGATGTTATCCAGCTTTACTGGATGTTATCCAGCTTTACTGGATGTTATCCAGCCTTACTTGATGTTATCTAGACATACTGGGGTGTTAAACAACCCTCCTAGATGGGTTCTCCCTTGACAGTCTTGTATGTATTATCATGTATTATCCATACATCATGGATTGGAGTTATCCATGATTGTTATCCAGCCTTACAAGGATGGTGGCATACAGCTATCCTTTGTGTCTGTTATCATGTAAACCTAGGCGGGTTTTATTTAACAGCCATATCCAGGGTTGGTGATATCATGCTATGTTGAGTCGGTGATATCCAACTATCCAGGGTAGGTTTAATCCAGGCTTACTGGATGAATGCGTGTGGTATCCAGCCCTCCAGGGTGTCTGATATCCAGCACTCCAAGGGTGGATGATAGGCAATCCTATCTGGATTGTTAGTATCCATCAATCCTGGGTAAGTGTTATCAAGCCATTCTGGGTGGATATTCAGCTGTCCTTGAGGGGTGATAACTAGTTCTCATTGGTGTGTGTTTTATCCAACTTTACTGGATTGATGTTGTACAGCCATTCTGGGTTAGTGCTATCCTACCACCCTTAGTGGGCGTTTTCCTGCATTTCTGGATGGGTATTTTCAAGCCATTTTAGTATGTGCGATCCAGCAATCCCGCGTGGGTGATATCCAGCCGTCCTAGTTGTGATATCCAGCCGTCCTAGGTGTGATATCCAGCCGTCCTGTGTGAGTGATATACAACCGTCCTGGGTGTGATATCCAGCTGTCCTGTGTGGGTGATATCCAGCCGTCCTGTGTGGGTGATATCCAGCCGTCCTGTGTGGGTAATATCCAACCGTCTTGGTGTGATAATTAGCCGTCCTGTGTGGGTGATATCTAGCCGTCCTGTATGGGTGATATCCAGCCGTCCTGTGTGGGTAATATCCAACCGTCCTGGGTGTGATATCCAGCCGTCCTGTGTGGGTGATATCTAGCCGTCCTATATGGGTGATATCGAGCCGTCCTGGACGGGTGATATCCAGCTTTCCTGGGTGGTTGATATCTAGTCCTGTGACCCAAATTAATATGAATAAATTATTTAAATTCCCTCTCATACTATGAAGCGGCGGGAGTGTTTATGGGTGTGAGTGAAAGGGTTAATTATGAGAGTGTGTGTTATCAACACATCTGGCATGGCAGATTGCCAGAGTTATCCATGAAGCGGACGACACGTATGGAAGACTGGCGGTACCTCAGTGATCTGCTGGTGACGGAAAATAATCAGAAATAGTCTTGCAAGATAGAAATAATAATAATAATAATAATAATAATAATAATAATAATAATAATAATAATAATAATAATAATAATAATAATAATAATAATAATAATAATTTATTTGCAAGAAGGTACAATGGGTTGGTGAAAGGAAGGGAACTCTGAGGAGGGAGCGTCAATCCATTACGACTATATAGCACTGGGAAGTTGTCAGGATTAGGATTTGGGATGAGACGGGGGGGGAAAGGAATGGTGTCCAATCACTTGGACGGTCGGGGAATGGGTTGGTGAGATTACATAAGATTGGTATTTTTACATTCATGCACAGTTACTAACACGCATGGCATTTCGGGCAGGTTTTTAATCTAACATATCTAATACACGGTGAGTTGGTGTGGTGGATGGCCAGAGGGCATGTCACAGATGTGGAACAAGAGATGAGATATTTGGCTCAGGTGAGTAGGGCAAGCAGATCTGATCTGTGAGCTGTAGTGGAGGATTTAACAGTGGAGCCATGGACATCAGCAGGGTGACACGTGTTGGATGGCAGACCTCCACACTCATTGTAACATTGCAGACCTTTGGTGGAATAAGTGATTTGGCATTGTGAGTGGTATTTCTGCGTGTTATGAAGAATCTCCAAAATCTCCACAATGAAAGGCTTTAAGAATTTGTATTCTTCTTACGTCTTGGCCTTTATCTAATATGCAAGTTTTTTTATTCAGCATTTCTCTTGTTAGGGTGATGCCATGGGCGTCTCGTGTGACTTTTAGGGGCACCTGATTGAAGAGGACAGGTCAAGTGCCTGGCGAGGCACTTGTCGACGTCATATTTATGTACTTAGATTGAAGGCTATATACTTTGTGGGGGCAAGTGTACATATATACCACGTTCAAGTGCTGTAAAGGGTTCTCAGTGGGCTTCGGGCTGTTTTTAAGGAGGAGGTCGGTAGTCTTGTTTGTTTTATGGTATATGACGATGTTTGTTTTGGTTAGCGATTGTCTTATATGCTCGGTTATGGACTATTTCTTTCATTATTCATTCCTCTTTCTGAAAGAGGAAATAAATTTTATGTTTTGCTTCTTTTTTTACACCATAGGACTGCGATGCCTTTAGGAAACACTTCATGCTTTACTTGAGGGAAAGCTTTTAACTGTATTTATTTTTGGTGGTAAATTCCCACCACCAAAACCCCCTCCGCACCTCTTCCTCCCCACAGGCACACAAACCCTCTTTTTAATATCTGAAAGCGGCTTAAATTTTGGAGTCGGTTTGTTCTCTCGCAGGCATTGAAAACCTGAATGATTTCGAGTTAGTATTGTGGATGTTATACAACGTTACTTATATATAAGGTAAACCAATATTTGTCGATCAATGTTATCAACGCTGCAATACAGAATTTTGAGCTTCTCTTGAAGATTTCTTCACACAATGTATAATATAGACAACACTGTAATGTGCGCCTTAATGTATATATAATATATGAACCCAGTACTTGTATTTGGTTTACTTATTTTCACGTTTTTAGATCAAAATAAAGAAATATTAATTATAATTACAAAGAAATATGAGGTTTTCGAAGAAATAATATAAATACAAGGACAGTGGAACACGTTTCCACATGCCATGGTCATCCTCGAGTGCGACTGTCGTCCTTGGGTGCGACTGTCGTTCTTGAGTGCGACTGTCGTCCTAGGGTGCGACTGTCGTCCTCGTGTGCGACTGTCGTCCTAGGGTGCGACTGTCGTCCTCGAGTGCGACTGTCGTCCTAGGGTGCGACTGTCGTCCTCGAGTGCGACTGTCGTCCTAGGGTGCGACTGTCGTCCTCGAGTGCGACTGTCGTCCTAGGGTGCGACTGTCGTCCTAGGGGTGCGACTGTCGTCCTCGACATCACATGTGCGAGGTTATTATATGATTCCGTACTGTAAGTTATACCATATTCACCTGGTGCAGTTTTTTCCCTAATGCTGTTGTCAATTCAAATTCAAATGTTTATTCAGGTAAAGTACATACATACAAGGTGTGATACAAACATTGACGGATTTATAGATAGAACTAGTACATACAATGCCTAAAGGCACTATTACGCAAAGCGTAATAGTGGCTCCATATTCCAATAGCTCCATAACTCCAATAGTGGCTTCATATTCTTATTCCGTCGTGTTTTATCTCGTGTTCATATATTTCTTTAATTTAACACACGTAATATAATAATAACACGTAATAATACCAGTATTGACAAGATCATTGTAAGTGTTCAACTGATACAGTTGTATGCCCAGTGTATCACTTGGATATGTAAGGCATTAGGTACGGTTTTAGACTGGAGTTATACATGAGGGTGGGGATTAGCCTAATATCTGCTTCAATGTACTTACGACATATTGCAAAATGATCACTTACCAGTTCTGGGATGAGCTTAGCTTTAATGTTGTTACCTACTAGGCTGTACCCAATCTCATAATCCAGCCTACTTCCTGATAAATGGGTTTGTTTGTTGGTATCATGCATAGTAATATTATGATCAGTAATGTATTTCAATAAGACCCTTTCTTTATTGTTACGAGGAACTAATATTCCTCGATGACCCAAGAGTATTATGAGGAGTATTCAAGCCAGCCAAACACATCATAGTTGTGTGACCTGTAGGCTTTGTTAGCAGGTCTGCTTTAAGCTCCCAACATTGTGCATATTTGGTATACAGACTAATATGGCTATTTTCACTATGAAATTTTAATATTTGATAATGTATGGAATCATTTCTGCGAGTTTGAATTAATTTAGAGATTAATGCACTTTTTACATATATGCGTAGGTGAGTTCCAATACTATTATTGTGCACTATATACCCAGGTATGTTGGGGGGAGCCCTGAGTATATTACCGGGTATATATAGTGTTGTACACTATATACCCAGGTATCTTGATAATTGTGGAAGTATGGTTCCTGTAAACATATCACATTCATGTTTTTCATTTTAGCACACAAGACTATATCGCTCATCCTGAGACAAACACTTGGAGTGCTCAAAGCAAGAAACTTGTTTTTGTCAGTTGAGCCACGGTTAAGAATCCAGGGAATCAATGTAATATTTAAGATCATTAAACAATTGAAGACATTATCGACTTTTTTACGCGTTTCCCGAGTAAAGTCATTTTTGTCTAGGAAGTGTTTCACCAGATAATGAGTTTGTGTTTTCTTGAACACTTTATCTTGAACCACGTCGAGAGTTTGATGATTATCAAGCGGGGCTGTCAGCGAGGGATCAGTAACTACCATAGAACCAATCCCCATAGGGATTTGACACTCAGGTTCTGAATAATTAGGTGGAGTATCTTCAACAGCTGCAAGATTGTCACCCACACTATTACTGGTGCTGGGATAACTTGTTGTATCATTATATTATCGCTAAGATAACTCATTGTACCACCACAATCGAATGGAAGCTTTGTTTCTAATGTTTATATTTTGTTTTCCAATTCAATCATTTTCTTCTTTAATCAAACAATTTCTTCCTTATCTGTGTGTGCTTTAGTCCGACGACGCTTGGGAAGTGCTGCTGGGAGTTTCCTAGTCAAGTTAGAGAGAACTGGTCGTGGTCAAGTTAGGGAGAACTGGTCGTGGTCAAGTTAGGGAGAACTGGTCGTGGTCAAGTTAGGGAGAACTGGTCATGGTCAAGTTAGGGAGGACTGGTCGTGGTCAAGTTAGGGAGGACTGGTTGTGGTCAAGTTACGGAGGACTGGTTGTGGTCAAGTTAGGGAGGACTGGTTGTGGTCAAGTTACGGAGGACTGGTTGTGGTCAAGTTACGGAGGACTGGTTGTGGTCAAGTTAGGGAGGACTGGTTGTGGTAAAGTTAGGGAGGACTGGTCGTGGCCAAGTTAGGGAGGTCTGGTCGTGGTGAAGTTAGGGAGGACTGGTCATGGTCAAGTTAGGGAGGACTGGTCGTGGTCAAGTTAGGGAGGACTGGTCGTGGTCAAGTTAGGGAGGACTGGTCGTGGACAAGTTAGGGAGGACTGGTCGTGGACAAGTTAGGGAGGACTGGTCGTGGACAAGTTAGGGAGGACTGGTCGTGGTGTACAGTCACGATGCCAAATATTTACATCTTCAAGTAAACACCTGAGACACTTTCTGACCTCAGGGGAGGCTGCCCCACCTTATCCAGGAATATGGGGGTCGGGGTACATATGAAAGCATAAGGTCTGGGCCTCCATACTGTTATGATCCCAGGCTGCCTGAGAAACGAGTTTACCCTCTGAGAGTTATTCTGTCAGGTCTGACCTAACTAAGAAGTCAAAGAAATATAAACCTAGAAGTGTATATAGTAAATACTCGATTGAATTTAATTAACGAGCTGATTAAAAGTATGGCCAGAAAGTAAAAATATAAATAAATGATTTGACATGAGATGTGGAGAATTTGCTGGTGTGAGGCTCGCTTCAAGGGAGTTTTGATCTCGCTTGAGCTGAAGAAATCGTGAGGGAAGGTCGTGCTCCGTTGAGCCCCTGGTGAAGAAGAACCCCTGTTTGATATACCTTTAAGAAGAAGGAAGTGGACGGACTTTTCGACTGTGGAGTATGTCTGTGGACGTGTCAGCTCAAGTCGTGAACTACAGAAAGAGTGTGGAGCATTTTAAAGCAGTTCTGTGGGCAGCCGAGGGCGCTCTGAGTGTCGACCGCTCAGACAGTGAGCTCCGCGAGCGGACCAAATTCTGTCGTAAGCTCATTTTAACTTGTTAACAGTGATTGCCTGTTGTTGGTCCTGTGCCCAGCGACCGTAGCAGATGTTTATTGATGTATTAGGCATGTTTAATTGAGGCAAAAAGCCTAAATAAAGGAATTAAGAAGAGGGAGCCAGCTGGAGGGACGAGCAGTGCATCCTTCCTCGCTTAGCTCCTGAGGGCAACTGACAGGGCTAGCCGCCGGCTACCTCAAGAGCGAGGAGCCCAGCCGGGCGGAGGATGGACCAGCCCGATCGTAGGGGAGTCCCCTCACAGCATGTGGGAAGCAGAGGGATGTCGAGTGGAGACATTTATTGTGTAGTTTATTTTAGTTGTATGTTTGTAGGGAAACATCTTTATTGGCGTATCAATGGGTTTCAGGTTTGTGTGGAGGAGAAGTTGATGGGAAAACTTCGAGGCCAGAGAAGGAGTTAATGGGTGGAATTTCAAGGCTGTAGGAGTGGATGTTAAACTCTGTGGAAGAGCAGAGTCCCCATAGTGAGGAGGTGAATCTCTACCTGTGGGAAGAGGAGCAGTGAAGTGAAGTTTCACATGATTCTGTGGTACCAGTGGTGAAGCACCATTGCTGTTCAAGGAAGACTTCGTGATGTAGCAGCCAGAAGAGCTGTGGAGGACCCTAGTAGACAATTACAGGAGATCCTGAAGATGTTCAGGGTAGTGGACCTCTAGGTGTAGAGAAGAGGTTCTTAGTGATTACTTATAGAGAGAGTTGATAGAGTGCTTGAGTGTCATTGGCATGTAAGACGCAGTGGAAGGTGGGTGACTGACATTCTTTTTGAATCAAGGAATATTTATATTGATGTTAATAGTGTTGCAGCCATAGACTGGATTTCTTGTGTATATTTATTTATATATATTCTAGGGCTGGTAGTGCCGTATTGTATTTACAAGATTTAACCACTTGGTGAGGTTGGTAGCATAAATGGTGAGCCAGGAGTTGGGCTTTCCCCTTGATATAAGTTGCTGATAGAGTCCCGATGGGATTGGATGCAACATGACTATAATAGCGTAGAATGTTGGAGTCATTATTGTATCTTGTGTGTGTTGTATATGTACTCTGTATGTTAAATGTTCATAACAAGCATGTGTTTGCTCTTGTCCTAGTGAGGCTTCCCAGGAAGTAGAAGAGAGAGAGAGAGAGAGAGAAAGCACCACAGCTGTGGACTGGGTGGTATAGAGTTATAATTCAATAAAGAGGGATTGAAGAGGCTATACCAAATAAGGAGAGAGTGGGGGAATTACAGTGGCTCGAATTGGGTGTGTACACGTGACAACGAGGCCAGTGTTGGAGCCGCACCCTCCTGAATGTGTGACGTTGAGCCTCTCTCCAAGAGCAGGAAGCGTATGGGGTGATCTCCTAATCAAAGTACGAGCACTCTACGGGTTGCGGTTAGTTGTACAGTGGGGGACGTACGCACCTACCTACAACAACATAAAAATACGTACATGTGAGAACACAGCCTCATCACTTGGTGTTCATGACAGAATGCCATACATAGTGTCACCCCCAACAATAGACACTTCGTTAGTACCGTGGTAATTATTACAGGAGAGAACTCTCTGGGTCTAATAGAACTTGGTGGGATGAAACACTTAAAGAAGCAATAGCGTTCGGGCAGTTCATTGTAGCCATCAACCTCGTTCAAACAGTTCCTGTGATGACGCTGTAACAAATCGTATTGGCGTTTGCCTTTCCACTACAGACTTTCGGCGCCGTGGCTTTGCGCTCTGGAGAGGCCACTCCAGACCGACAACCAGAGCACAACTCCATAGTCTCCTGACACTGATGGATGCCTACTATTATTGTTGAGACGGGAAACTCAGAGTATTTCGAGACAATGATGTTCCTATTGAAAGGCTCATCACCCCTTGTATCACCTTCTTGTCCTGTAGTCCCCTACATGAAAGCTCTCTGGGGAACTTGTGGCAAGACACACTCTTAAATGTTCAAGTGCGATTGATGGCTGCTCCTCGCATATTACGAACCTCATCTTTAACCAGTCAAGTTATCATATCTTATTGCGTTCATGACATGTAGTGCTACTCTGGACACAGCTGTCGTAGACACTCAATATCACAGCTCGTGAAATGAGATCTATTATTAATGAATTTATGCACTTATAATGTGTGTTCAGGAGCGGTGTTCCATGTCAGTGTGCTCATCAACTTTGCCCAAAAGTTAGCTTTGAAAATCCCCCCCCCTCCATCTATCACACTGATAATTAGTATCCCTTGGTCATCACCCAAGCATCCTATCCCATCATCACCACCCCCTCCTCACCAGCCGTCATCACCACCCCCCTCCTCACCAGCCCATCATCACCACCCCCTCCTCACCAGCCAGTCATCACCACCCCCTCCTCACCAGCCCATCATCACCACCCCCTCCTCACCAGTTCGTCATCACCACCCCCTCCTCACCAGCCGTCATCACCACCCCCTCCTCACCAGCCGTCAACACCACCCCCTCCTCACCAGCCCATCATCACCACCCCCTCCTCACCAGCTCGTCATCACCACCCCCTCCTCACCAGCCGTCATCACCACCCCCTCCTCACCAGCCATCATCACCACCCCCTCCTCACCAGCCAGTCATCACCACCCCCTCCTCACCAGCCCATCATCACCACCCCCTCCTCACCAGCCCGTCATCACCACCCCCTCCTCACCAGCCCGTCATCACCACCCCCTCCTCACCAGCCCGTCATCACCACCCCCTCCTCACCAGCCCGTCATCACCACCCACTCCTCACCAGCCCGTCATCACCACCCCCTCCTCACCAGCCCGTCATCACCACCCACTCCTCACCAGCCCGTCATCACCACCCCCTCCTCACCAGCCCGTCATCACCACCCCCTCCTCACCAGCCCGTCATCACCACCCCCTCCTCACCAGAGTAGTGGAAATGGCCCCATAGACCGTGCGTTTTGGTTTTTCCCAAGCACGGTCTATGGCCCCTGGGTTTTCTGGAATATTTTCCCAAGCACTGTCTATGGGGCCGGGCTTTTCTGGAATATTTTCCCAAGCACGGTCTATGGGGCCGGGCTTTTCTGGAATATTTTCCCACGCACTGTCTATTCTCAAATATTTTCCCACGCACGGTCTATGGCCCCTGGGTTTTCTGGAATATTTTCCCAAGCACTGTCTATGGCCCCTGGGTTTTCTCGAATATTTTCCCAAGCACGGTCTATGGCCCTGGGCTTTTCTCAAATATTTTCCCAAGCACGGTCTATGGCCCCTGGGTTTTCTGGAATATTTTCCCAAGCACGGTCTATGGCCCCTGGGTTTTCTGGAATATTTTCCCAAGCACGGTCTATGGCCCCTGGGTTTTCTCGAAATAATTTTCATGGCCGGTCATTGGCCCCTGCCATTTTCGCTCAAGGGGATTAAACGGCTGCCTCCAGTCATCCCAAAATTTCGTTAGCTCAGTGACCCTGCACAGGCATGTTAAAGGGGATTAAAAAGCCGGTCATTGGCCCCAGGGTTTTCTCGAATTTTCTTTCATGGCCTGACCCATGCACAGGCATAGCCAATGGTCAATGACGTCATCGGGTAGCCAGTCTTCAATTGGCCTGGGGTAGGATTAAACAGCCGGTCCCTGGCACACCCAAATTCTGTTACCCCGGTGACCCTGCACAGACATTGCTAATGGTCAATGACGTCACCCCCGTCTTCATCTTCCCTGTATAAGTCTGTTTTCTGTTATAGTGTAATTATTTCCATTTTCAATATTTATAGCAAAGGGGGATTCAAATGCTGCCATCTGTCAAGCCTAATGTGCAATGGCGTTAATCATTATAAGCTCGTTTTTCACAATAAGGTATTACCATACGGTTTCCCATTGACTAAGATCATTTTAACATAAGAAATAAGTTCCACCCTGTTACAGAACCAGTATTTACCCAGGTCATTTTCCTAAATCTAAAAAACATATTTCCAATTTATGTCCATTGTTTCGTGTTTATAGTATTAATAGCCCATTAATATCCCTTTTGCCATGTTTCCCCTATTTCTTCGCCTTTGTAGATAATGCAATTTAAGCTTTGTCAATCTGTCTTCAAGGATTGCTTATTGACCATAGGGAAAATAAAAATGAAAACCCACTATTATCCATTTGTATGAAAACAGTCCCCTGTCAGGCGTAGTGATTTCAATGCAATTTCAGTACTAATCCAATATTACTGTATAAACTAACAGTCCCCTGCCAGGCATGGTGACTTCAATGCGATTTCAGTAGTAATCCAATAATACTGCATAAACGCATAATATACATTTTAATTATCCACAACTGTAATCATTATTCGGTGATAAGTGCAAAAGTATAACAGCAACCCAAATGTCATACCGCAATTTTTGTAGAATCGTACATCTGACAGCATTGTAGGTGAGCTGAACATAAGAATAAAGGTAACTGCAGAAGTTCTATTGGCCCATACGAGGCTCCTATATATCTCCACCCAATCTCATTCATATTCATGTCCACCCTATGCTTAAAACAACCAAGGGATCCACTTAAGGTATTAGTTTACAATAATAGTTTTAATAAATAGCTGTCATTCTAGTTTTATACACAACAGCAATTATGAAACCCTATATTGTAGGTGAGCTGAACATAAGAATAAAGGTAACTGCAGAAGTTCTATTGGCCCATACGAGGCTCCTATATATCTCCACCCAATCTCATTCATATTCATGTCCACCCTATGCTTAAAACAACCAAGGGATCCACTTAAGGTATTAGTTTACAATAATAGTTTTAATAAATAGCTGTCATTCTAGTTTTATACACAACAGCAATTATGAAACCCTATAGCTAGATATCGTACTGTAATCCACAAGTAGCTACCACACATCTGGCAGTACAGCGGATTATTAGCTGTGTTGATAGGCTAGTCAACTGTCCTCACATCCATCAAATAGCTATCCAAATGTCGCACCTCAATTCTTCCATCTAGCAACTTAGCTGGATGCTAG